CCTCCAAATTACATTCATGAGGAAAGAAGTATGACCTCCAAATTATTCCATAATGAATGAATTTCATCAGGAGAAATGTAAGTAGGTGAAGTAATCCGAATGTAGAGGCGTTACCACAGAGGAGAGATTGTTTGTTTGGATGGAAAACACTGGCATGCCACTTCCGCACTGGGTCAGGAAACTGACATTGTGTAAGTAGAAGTGACATGAATCCTTGTTTATCATATCATCTAGCTCTATTTCCAGGCTTGTCTCATTAAGTACTCGAGATTATGTAATTTGACATAAAGTGACGTTTACTAAGTCTGAAACGTTTGCTAAGATGTGACATCAGGTCGTGAATCTGAGAAATTCATTTCCTCATACATTTTATCTATTTATCGAATAACTCTAGTTCAAGGAAAATAATTATGCTTATGTATACCCTGAATAGAATTTAGTACCATTTAAATATCGTTTCGGTGAGATCCATGAGATTATTGAATCCTAAATCAAGATATGATCATTTGTTTAAAAGCGATTGTTTCTGTACTGCTTAAAAAAAAGTACAGTTCCTTGTATCCATTACCTTTACAGTTTATTTCGGATCCACAGCGGATAGGGACGGGGAATCAGGACAGGTGGGAGGATTATGTGTCCAGGGGGCGGGCAAGTCATAATTACTTGCCCGCCCATTGTACCTACTTTGACCTAAGTTGACCTCCGTAAATCTATTTTTTTCCCGTAACGTCTACAACAGGTGGATCAGGTTCTAGGCGTCGTCACGTGATCAGTCCTCATATATATGAGAGCGGAGATTCTGATCAGGTCAGTACTAGACGTACAGGTGACACATACTCAACTCACTCTCAAGTGCACACTCCTCTTCCTTGATAAGAAACCATGAACTTGTGTCTCTTCTTCCTGACGGTGGGGTGCCTGGTGACCCCCTGCATGGCACAAGGACTTTCCTGGCTCTTCAGACGCCTCCATAAAACAGGTCGCCATAACATCCGCGACCTCAGTGGCGGCCGACACACATCCCATCAAGTGACAGCAGATCAACCCTTCAACTTCTATGAACACCTGGTAAGTACAACTTTCTACAAGTACAATGATTCCATTCGTATTTAAGCAGATATATAAGTGCAAAGGTTACCCACTCCATATCTAACTAGTACCTTAATTAAGTGAAAAGATCCACGCTTCAATTTCTATGAGCACTTGGTTCGTTAAAGGATATAAGTAAAGGTTGCATAGTATGAAATGTGAACAGATCTAATGATATCCTTTGTTTTGCAGCGTCTGTGCACCAACGATCGCGTGTGTGGGCGCGGCCAGTTCTGCGACCAGCACTACGGCGTGTGTCGGGACCACGTGACGGAGGGACACGAGTGTCGTCGGGACGCCATGTGTGAGGGCGGATACGCCTGCATGTTCGGCCTGTGCCAAAAGCGCATCAAGCGTGGGCGTGAGGGCGCCAGGTGCCGCAAGGAGCGGGATTGTGGAGCAGGGATGTGCTGCGCCCGTCGCCATGGAGAGCAGGTGTGTCAGCGGCGTGTGCCGTTGGGCCACAAGTGCTACGTCCCTGAGGGCGGCCTCGACTACTCCATGAACCAGCTTTGTCCGTGCGAGAGCGGCCTTGTGTGCAAATACACGGCTCAACAGCCTCCTTCCAGGCACCAGCTCATGGCCCTCATGTCGGCGCACGAGGACATGCGCTGCGCAGCGCCCTCGCACCGCGTCGACTGACATGTCAGGAGTCGATTGTGTTCTCAATATATTTATCCCAGATGAACTTCTAGTCAGCAATGTATTTTATATAAGCTAATAAACCTTACCTTATATTCTGTCTGTCTGAATTTAATCATCCCTTATTATCAAACGTACCCAATAAAGATGAACTACGTCCGTACGTACAGTAAAGCCCTAAAAATCAAATTAAAAGTCCAAAGTTTACAGTTGTCTTATCTTGCGAAATTAATAGCTAATTACATAAATGATGAGTGCATAGACACAAATACAGATATGAATATATATATATATATATATATATATATATATATATATATATATAATATATATATATATATATATATATATATATATATATATATATGTAGATGTAACCAAAATGGAAACAATCTCAACACTATCATTCATGGTAAATGTAATCATAAAATGGCAAACTTTCAGTAGTCACCATTTAGAAGTTTATGACAAAATGACCATCATTTCACATGAGCACCTTTAAAACTTATGAAAAGAAAATTTAAAAGACATTTTATTTAAAGCTCGTGAAAATTAAAAAAAAAATGAACCACCCCATATTAAAACTTGACTTATCTGATCGTATATTGATTAACTTATTTGTGTGTTAATACTATACCACTCCACTGATTGTCCAAAAAACATTCACAAACCTCCATCATGTGTTTATGAGTACTTAGTGGATGTATTTCAAATCTTATTGTTCTGTTTACATTAGCACTGAATGTCATATTAAATGCGCGTGTATTAAACATAAATACTGGATTCTACAGTGCCGGTGCTCCACCGAATGTGCATGCCGTTCCTTAACTATTCAGTGACCAACAGAGTCGAAGGAACAGGGAAGGAGCAGCAGGCATACTTGTCATGAACAGGTGTGTAGACCCTTAGGCTGTTGGGCCTGTGGTATTGTTGATGTGTATGATTACATGAGTATTTGATAAAAAGTGGGTTTAACTAACTAAAATTCTTTTAGAATCTTTTGTTCAAGGCGAGAAAAGCGGTCACATAATCCCGTCTTTGGGTAACTTGCAGGGCATCTCGGGTCAAAGTAGGTACGATGGGCGGGCAAGTCATAATTGCTGCCCCACCCCTTGACCGGATTAAGCTCCCTTTTCCAAGATTCTTTTTCGAATTAAAACCTATAGCTAATACGAATATTCAGATGATTTCCTGTTTGTATGAAGTGCACTATCGTTTATATGATTACGAGTACATTCATGAGGAAAGAAGTATGACCTCCAAATTATTCCATAATGAATGAATTTCATCAGGAGAAATGTAAGTAGGTGAAGTAATCCGAATGTAGAGGCGTTACCACAGAGGAGAGATTGTTTGTTTGGATGGAAAACACTGGCATGCCACTTCCGCACTGGGTCAGGAAACTGACATGTGTAAGTAGAAGTGACATGCAATCCTATTGTTTATCATATCATCTAGCTCTATTTCCAGGCTTGTCTCATTAAGTACTCGAGATTATGTAATTTGACATAAAGTGACGTTTACTAAGTCTGAAACGTTTACTAAGATGTGACATCAGGTCGTGAATCTGAGAAATTCATTTCCTCATACATTTTATCTATTTATCGAATAACTCTAGTTCAAGGAAAATAATTATGCTTATGTATACCCTGAATAGAATTTGTACCATTTAAATATCGTTTTCGGTGAGATCATGAGATTGTTGAATCAAATCAAGATATGATCATTTGTTTAAAAGCGATTGTTTCTGTACTGCTTAAAAAAGTACACTTCCTTGTATCCATTACCTTTACAGTTTATTTCGGATCCACAGCGGATAGGGACGGGGAATCAGGACAGGTGGGAGGATTATGTGTCCAGGGGGCGGGCAAGTCATAATTACTTGCCCGCCCATCGTACCTACTTTGACCTAAGTTGACCTCCGTAAATCTATTTTTTTCCCGTAACGTCTACAACAGGTGGATCAGGTGCTAGGCGTCGTCACGTGATCAGTCCTCTCATATATATGAGAGCAGAGATTCTGATCAGGTCAGTAATAACCGTACAGGTGACGCACACTCAACTCACTCTCAAGTGTACGCTCCTCTTCCTTGACAAGAAACCATGAACTTGTGTCTCTTCTTCCTGACGGTGGGATGCCTGGTGACCCCCTGCATGGCACAAGGACTTTCCTGGCTCTTCAGACGCCTCCATAAAGCAGGTCGCCATAACATCCGCGACATCAGTGGCGGCCGACACACATCCCATCAAGTGACAGCAGATCAACCCTTCAACTTCTATGAACACCTGGTAAGGTACAACTTTCTACAAGTACAATCCATTCGTATTTATATATAAGTGCAAAGGTTAAAAGATGTTACCATATATGATAAATTAAGTGATTTTGTAAAGGATGTAAAGATCAGATCTAATGATATCCTTTGTTTTGCAGCGTCTGTGCACCAACGATCGCGTGTGTGGCGCGGCCAGTTCTGCGACCAGCACTACGGCGTGTGTCGGGACCACGTGACGGAGGGACACGAGTGTCGTCGGGACGCCATGTGTGAGGGCGGATACGCCTGCATGTTCGGCCTGTGCCAAAAGCGCATCAAGCGTGGGCGTGAGGGCGCCAGGTGCCGCAAGGAGCGGGATTGTGGAGCAGGGATGTGCTGCGCCCGTCGCCATGGAGAGCAGGTGTGTCAGCGGCGTGTGCCGTTGGGCCACAAGTGCTACGTCCCTGAGGGCGGCCTCGACTACTCCATGAACCAGCTTTGTCCGTGCGAGAGCGGCCTTGTGTGCAAATACACGGCTCAACAGCCTCCTTCCAGGCACCAGCTCATGGCCCTCATGTCGGCGCACGAGGACATGCGCTGCGCAGCGCCCTCGCACCGCGTCGACTGACATGAAAGCAGTTGATGTTTCACTGTACTTATCCCAGATTAAATTCTAGTCGTAATTATCTCGCATAAGTTAATAAACTTATCTAATTTTCCGAACTGTCTGAATTCAACCCTCCCTCAATATTAGACCTACACAGTGCAGATAAACTAGGTCAGTAGGTACGGTAAAACCCTAAAAAATGTCTCACTAAAAGACATCAGACGTAACAATTCGAAAAAAAATCATTGAGTTAAATCGGATTAAGATCCCAATATTAACAGCTTTTATAGACTATAACTTATCAAGCTAAATGAACAGATAAACAAATGAATAAATAATTAGATAAATGGTGAGTATAGATATATAGATATATAGATAGATTCATATAAAAAAGGTAATGTCAACATCAGTATTAATGGTAAATGTTATTTTAGAATGTCAAACTTACTGTAGACATCAGAACATCTCACTTAAATCACAAAAAAAAAAAAAAAAAATCAAAGGAAAGGGGAAAAATGTATATACGAACAAAATATTTTTTTGGTTCCTGTATTTAACTCGAATGGAACATATTATGGGGCTGTCTCCTGTATATTTCTAATAAAAATGGGACCTTGGAAATATGCTGCAGATTTTTTTATACCTGTCTACTGTACTAATTGTTTTTGTCTCATCCTAGACTTGTTGTAAAATGTTGCTCTTTAAGTGGCATAATAATGATAACCGAATTGAAGTGATAATAGTTAATATAATAATAGGAGCAGCAACGATATCAGTCAATACTAAAAACGTCCAATATAATGGAAAACTAAGGCTACTAAAATAGTCCAATTGGCGAGGCAAAAGGACAAAGCGCATTTTCACCCCCAAAGAGTTGTGCTGTAATCAGCATCGCCTCTACATTGCAAGTGACAGGTTTCGACAATCCAGGCCATCTGTTTGGTGTTCACGGGTGTTCTAAACGGAGACGTCTCATTTCCACATGTACACACACATTTTATATATCATATATATATATATATATATATATATATATATATATATATATATATATATATATATATGTAGCATATGTGAATACATACATAAACACGTATATATATATATATATATATATATATATATATATATATATATATATTTCTATCTACTATTCATATGTTTATCCATTTATTTTATTTATCTATATATTCATCGATTTATTTGTGGCAGCGTTGATAAAATATCCTCCACTGATTGTTCATACACACCCGTAAATCTCCATCAGGTGCTTGTGAATTCTC